TGTTCTAATCCATTTCCCAGAAAACCTCACAATCCTTTTTAATATTAATTACATAGAAAATTAAAGAAACAAGAAATCAAAACCAAGAGATTTGAAAAAAATAATGAAACATCTTTCATCATTAATATCTGACTTTTATCTTCATTGAGTATCTATGTAAATAAGACAGTGAAGTACAGATGAGATATATTTGTAAATAAAATTCTAGCCCATGTACATATTAAATGAAGAACTAACTTCAAAATTCATAAATGTTATTTTCATTCCACAGAAAACAAAAAGTTTTACAAATATTAATTTTAGAAAATACTTATAAATTAATTAGCTTTAATACAATATTAATTATTTAGAGAATATGCAATGACAGATATACTTATTGTCCAAAGTAGAAAAATGAAAAGAGGTTTCAAGATGTATGAAATTTTTCAATGCAAACTTTGTAGCAGCTGCTACAGATCAGATGAATTGTAAAGAAACCTGATAGTATAAACTGATAGATTTTTACGGATTTTTTTAGGGATATGTTTAAATAAAGCTATTCTAACATTAAACAATACAGACAGGTAGGTTGTTATCAATTCAGAAAGAACTTTAAACACTCATAGCAGGGACTAATAAGGATGAAATTTTGCAGACATCTCTAATTAAATGTGTGTACTACAACAGATTTTTGCTTGCGGATTTTACTTTACATATGAAGTGGGGAAACAATGACTGTATTGACATCTCTGTTTCTTCCAAATTTCTGGCAACTCCATGTTGCTAAGCCTCCAACGGGAAACATGTCATCACTGTACATTTTTTCCCATTTGTCATCTGATAGAATTCCATGTGTATCTCTCTCTCTGTCTCTCTGTCTCTTTCTCTCCGTCTCTCTCTCTCTCTCCTCTCCTTTAGTTGGCAGCTTCATGTTCACATTCTTGTCCATATTCACAAGGATTTATTTCAGTACAAATTTCCCACCTGACTACTACTCCACTACAAATATAAACTCTCTTCTTATGAAACATGTTACTTGTTTTGTTCTTAAACTCTAGTATATGTCTTCATCTGCCATGTTCACTGTTTTCCAGAACAGCATCTACTTAATAATGAATATTATTATATATAATAATATTATATAATAATATTAAAGTTTCTTCAGGAAGGCTTCAAGTTTCAGTTGCAATTCCAGTAGCATGGGTCTTTAAAAGTTTCCTACAAATTAGAAGCTCATATAGGACTATATATTTACATATACATTCTATGTTATGCATAGTTCTGATATAGTCTTATGCCAATAAAGTCAGGAGTGATATGTTTATAATATTTGCTGATTTTATTTGTTTAATTAAAAACAAGTCAGCAATTTGATTTTTGGATAACAAATTTCACATTCTGAATGATATTCTCTCTCTCTCCCTCTCTCTCTCTATATTTACATATATATATCTATATGTAATACATATATATATATATATATATATATATATATATATATATATATATATGATGGGGTTGTTTATACATCCTATTCTCTACAATGACAGAGACACTGAAGACAAGTAGAGAGCCTAATTAAGAATTGAAACTTCAAGCTTTGCAATACTAACAGATACAGGAAAACATAAATCATGTGCCATTAGGAATGAAGACACTTTAGCTAGAATCTAAATCAGGAAAGAAACTGCTCATCTGTTTGTAATTTCAATTTATTAATTTATTAAAGAAAGCTGCTGAGTGTGCACTGCATGCCTCTAACCTCAACTGAGAAGTTAAGACAGTTTGAATCAGGAATTTAAAGCCAACCTCAACTACACAGTAAGATAGAAGCCACGACAGGATAGCTGAAATAATGTCTCAACATAGACAAAAAAATAAATATGTTCAGTGAGGTTACTATAACTACATATCAAAAAGACAACCTTTAATGGGAGATAACTTAAAATTAGGACAACAAATGTGAGTGTTGTTGCCTAAATTAAAATACTGAAAATAAGGGAAGAAGTTTCAATTGTATATGCTTAGAAAACATGTAATAACAGTGTTGGTTTATATTGGTTGTGTGATAATCATGATTTTAATATTCACTTCTCATTGTCATATGACTTACCTAGACTGCCATCTTTATTTTTAACATGTAACTTTACTTCATAGTCCATAAGAATGTTTCGACTACTGCCGAGTGGAAAAAAAAATTCCTATTTTAGTATTGATATAAAAAACATCTTTATGCTATGTTGAATTTTCCAGAATACTGCAGACAATATCAAAGGCATTACCATACTTGAGTAAAGCCCAATGTATTATTTCTTTTCAGAGCTTATATTCAGTTATTACATCTATCCAGAAAACATGAAATCCTTTTCTAATTCAGTTCTGTTGCTGTGATAAAACAGCATGGCAAAAGAGAATTAGGAGAAGAAGGACTTACTTTGACTCACAATGGTAATCATCATTACAGCAAGGTTGAGACAGCAGGAACTTAAAGTAGGTAGTTGCATCATATCCACAATCAAGAGCATAAACAAGGGAATGCAATGCATGTTCCTCACATACACTATTATTATAAAATTCAGGAATATTATTGTTGGTGGTTTCCTTTACTCTTTTGCTCTTAGCTCTTTAGGGAGCCTGCCACCAAGCTCCCAAATAAATCACACACAGAAGCTTCTTCTTTCTTACAAATGCCTGGCCCTAGCTTGGCTTGTTTCTAGCCAGCTTTTCTTAAATTATCCCATCTATCTTTTGCCTCTGAGCTTTTCCCATACCCTAACTTCTATTATTCTTACTTTCACTCTTATTCCATGGCTGGCTCTGCGGCTGGGTGGCTGGTTCCTAGCATCTTTCTCCATCTCTCACTTTCCTTTATCTTTTTCTTTCCCAGATTTCTCCTCCCATTTGTTCTCCATGCCTGCCAGTCCCACCTATCCTTTCTCCTGCCTAGCTATTGGACAACCAGCTCTTTATTAGACCATCAGGTGTTTTAGACAGGCAAAGTAACACAGGTTCACAGAGTTAAACAAATGCAACATAAAAGAATGCAACACAACTTTGCATCATTAAAACAAATGTTCCATAGCATAAACAAAGATAACACACCTTAAATTAATATTTCACAGCAGACTCCTGCCTAGGAAATGATGCTACATTTGATGCTACATTTGATGTTGATGTCTTCCCACATCTATCAACAATCAAGAAAGTTCTCCACTGACCATCTTACAGGTCAATTTGATCTAAATGATCACTCACTGACACTCCTTCTCCAGGAGACTTTAAGCTGCATGACTTGATAATTAGAATTTACCATCATAAGCCCTCTAAATTACATTGATAGCTGCTCTAATTTTGTCTTATCATTTGGGGAAAAATGAGCTATTTAACAACTTGAAAATATAAGCTTTTTACCATGTGATTTCTTTCCACTAAATAAAATGATTGTTGGCTGTTACCAAACACACAATGACCAAAAACTTCAAACTAACACATTGTCACGTAGTTACTTGCAGTCTTCCTGTACCTAATCAAACTCTGTACCTGCAGATCCTTGTTAGAAAGATTGATTGGTCTGTTTGTCTCCAAATTTCATTGAAGATTAAATCCTATCCTACCCATGGATTCCATTTGTACATAATGTGAATGAGGTTTATTAAATACAGACTAAGGCTGACAGCTACTCAGAGAATGATGATATAGGCTCTCATATCACCTAGGAAAGGATGCTGTACAGAATACAAAGGGATCTGGTTCTAGTAGTACCGAATAGAGATTTGTGATATTCCCTGCAACATGATTTAAACCTTCATGACAGCTTACAAGATCAACTGAAAGAGATGAACAAACTCTTCACAATTAATAAACAATAAAGGTCTAGGGTTAAAATGACATGTGGCTCCATGGAAGGTTCTGAATAAGTGAGAATGGTCAAATAGGTAGCAATGGGTGTGGCACAAGCTGAAAAGCCCAGCAGCCAAAGGAAAGCACTGTCACTTTGGGACTAACAGCTCAATTAAAATATTGTAACTTTTCAGTGTCAGTGTGAACTGCCATAAATCATAAGAGATCTGATTCAACAAAGGCAGCCTGCTCATGGAGGTCAGTCTCTCCTGATCTCCAGGACAAGTGTGACTGGCAAGACTGCAACAACAGAATCATAAAAACAAAAGAAGGACTAGATGTCCTCTTCTTGCTCCATTTGTCTTTTGAAAGAGAGCATTCCTCCTGGGACTTAGGGAACCCGGAAACCTTTATCTTTTTCGAGATTCAAAAAGTAATATATAGGAGAAAGGCCCCCAGAGGGAGAAACACAATTTTCTGCAACACTGTAATTGAAGACTAAAACAGCTAATTAGAATATCAAACATTTGAATATATAAAGTATAGGGTTTATAATTGGATGAAATAGAAAATGTTAGGGTCCATAATTTCTAAGTTCCAGAAAGTTCTACACAGAGATATAGTTCATTTACAGAATTGCTCAGCAAAAACGAGGCACTTGGTTCAGTCTTCAGCAATACAAAACCAAAACATGAGATAAAGAAACCCTTCTTCTTTTCTACTTCTAATGGTATGCATTTTGCATACTGGATATTCACTGCTATTCCAAAACAACCTAGAGTCAACAATAATACATTATGAGAGGAAGATGAAGACTTTGGGATTAATTTGAACTGCAAGTTAGTGTTTGCTAGCATTACAATGCAAACACCTACCCTTTACTCATGCCTTCAATAGCATAGCGTAACACAGTCCATCCAAACACATCTTTAAAGAAAAAGTCAATACCTTCATCCAGAAATAGACTGACCAAATCTGTTGAATCCCATCTTATGGCATATAAGAGTGTGTTTCTGAAATAACACAGAATAGCTTCATTATTAGATAACTTAATTAAAACTGTTAATACTTGGGTATATTTTACAAATTCAATATCTTGCCTGTCTGTTTTTATACACATAAATATCATTTGTTACAAAAATCCAACTTTATATATGGTGTGCAAAGATAAAATAAGAAAATGGATAGGAAGCCTCTGGCAGTGTTTTGTATCTTCTTAGTAGAATTCTTAGATTCATCGACTTTGATAGAATGTAAGTGTGTAAAATTTATTCTTCTTAAGTAGATAAGGACTTAAGAGAAATGTTTCCATTTTCTTTAGTTTACTGTAACATATAATTACTAATCAGATAACCATCAGATAATTGAAAGGTATTTTCATTATTTAAACTATAACAACATTATAAAATACTCTGTTAATAATAAATTCATTATAGTTACAGTTAGTAATGAGGATAACATGTGTTATGCACTGCCCTAAATGTTTCATAAATGATCTCATGAAAATCTTTACAAGGTATTATCCTCCTTTTCATATTTCGTGATATGTAACACTAGCAGTTCAGACACCTAGCAACTAGGTAGCTGATATTTTAACCAAGTCATCTATCAATCTGCATCTACCCACCTATTACTTAGCTTCATAATGTTTGTCCTAATGAATTGTATTTTTTCCTTTCCCAACTCTATGTAAATATAAACACATCAATACCAGTTGTACAGGACAAAATGGGGTAGGGTTGAGCAGCATCCTGAAATAACAATTCTTAGTCATCATAGGATATTCTAACCTCATTATTCCTCAAACAAAGGGAATTGAAAGGCAAGAGTCATCTAATACACTGTGATTGTCAACTCTTTTTATGAATAATAGGGCATTTTATAGGACAATCATATAAGAGCAAGGAACAACAGTACAAAATGATTGAGTTTTGTTATGAATCAAAGTTAATCAAAAAGTTTAAACTTTTTAAAAAATTGGTAAAACCAAACTGAAAACCCATTAATCTACCACAAGATCAGTCGTCCAATCAAACAAAATATCAAATAAGAAGCATCAATCAATATAATAAGGGGATATGAAACTTATAAATGATTTATGTTGCTCACCTCAACTTATTGCTTTGCTTACCCAACTAATTAGACCGATGACTAGTGGATACCTGATCACTGAATCCCTGTAAGTTAGTCTTCTTCCCATCAAGTTGATATTTCTTGGTTGTAAGATTGTTATTTCAGTATGTCACACATTTTTATTGAAAAATTCAAACAACAGTACCTTTTCATCTTATCAAATACATGTATATTTGCCCCCTTCTTTACTAAAAATTTTGCCATCTCTATTTTGTTTTCCTTGAGAGCCAGTAAAAGTGGTGTAAAGCCATCCTGCAAAACAAAAGAATCTGTAATCCAAAATCATTGTAATCTTCAACTTAATGGATCCTTAAACAGTCCTATGAATACAAAACCTTGCTAGAGTTAATAAGCAGCTTTTTCCCTTGCAGGCCCCTGCACATTCCTTCTCCTTGAAATGCCCTACAACTACTTACATGCAACACATGAAACCTGCTCATCCCTTCCATAGATGACTTTAAAACTGTGTTTGTTCTACAAACATTTCCTCTACCTTAGCATTTAATATATGGAGTCATGTAATTGCTCTCTTCACCTCTTCAAGAGCAATTTGACAAGCAGGTTTCTGCATGAATATCTTAAGGCTCAGCAGTGTGCTTAGTTCTTAGAGGAAACTACTGTAATCTATGGACCATACTGAGTCCATAGCTTCTGAGGTTTTTACCTTTCCAGTGAGTGTTTCCTCCAATGGGTTTGTATAAACCATTTTTTACTTGTGAAATCATCTAACACATTTCATAAAATGATATTTAGCCCAAAGGACATATAACTCAACATCGAACCAGAAATTTTCAAACTTTTGTTAATTTATACTTCACTTGCACTCTGTTTTCCCCTAATGTTGATGGAATGAAGCATTAGTGTTAAATCAAAATCATTCAGTTGATTTTCAACACTGTCTTTAACTCACTGTTTTTGCAGTGTTTACAAATGCTAGGATTTGACACCCAGGTTTTATAAACTTACCAAGCCACACAGTAATGGCTCAAATGTCAAGGTTGTGATTTGTTACTCTTTCAATATAGAAAAAAAAAACCTTGCATTTACTAGTCTGGAATCTGTTTACCTGAATACTAATAATACATAGAATTCTTAAAAGTCTAGCTTCTTATTATTTTCAATATCTTTTAAAAGTAATGAATTATTGTTGTCTTAAAGCAAGAAGTGTTATAAGCTAATCTTCACCATTGTTACTGTTTTTTTTTTCCCAAACATAAAAATAGTAAAAGAAGAAAGTAGGACTAAGATTATAGGAGTCAAACCATGGCTCTTCCAGAGTTCCTTAGGATTTTTAGATCTAGCATCCACACATTCAATGTTTATTCAGGAACTCTTTCAGAATTTCAAGGAAATAATTTTTGTAAATGCCTTTTTCCATGACTAATTAATTAGATTTAAAGATTCAAACTCTGCATAGAAAACTCTACTTGTAATACAGATATTCAAACTTCTCCTGAGGTCATTGGGACACACAATCCAGAACTAAGAATTTCAGTCTCATTTCTAAGCCACATCTCCAATTCCCTTCACCATTTGTTCTTATCACTGAAAAGAGAAAGGACTCAGTCACTGAAAACTTCTTAGTTTCCCTTAATGGGAACAGACAGGGAAAAAGCTGCTAGGGTTACATTTCATTTCAATATGGAAAAATGTCGGTTCCATCTTCTCCTTCTCCCAATCCAGGCGTCCTAGATTGGAAAACAGAGGTTAGTTTTTGACCTAAAAGGTGGTCATATCTTCAAAAAAAGGGAAATACACCAGTGCATTCTGTCATCTTTCGTCTTTTTTCACATATCCACCACCTACTCACTACTTACTCCTCAGATTGAACTACAGGCATGTTTGTAGCTCAGTAACTTCAACAAATGAAGAATGAACACTCCTAAAACAGAAAACACAGTAGCAAAACCTGTAAACTCATTCCAAAATAATTCTCTTAGTTTTGATTTTTGTTT